CATCCTGGCTGCACTCTAGCGGTCCATGGATATTGAGTGCTCTTCTCCAACACCACACCTCAAAGGCATCATTTATTCTGCCATCTTTCTTCATTGTCCAACTCTCAGATACACAGGAATTGAAAAGACCCATGGCTTAGAGCAGGTGTACCTCGGTCTTTAAACTGACGTCCTTACTCTCCAACATTTTGGAAAGGTCCCTAATTGTAGATTTTCCTGATGCAATATGTCTTTTGATTTCCTGAATGCTGGTACCAAGGTCATTGATTTTTGGATCCTAGTAAGATGAAACCATTGACAATTTCTATCGTTTTTCCATCCATCATGATGTTGCCTCTTGGCTCAATAGTAAGAGTTTTTATTTCCTTGATGTTGACATGTAATCTATACTGAAAGCTATCGTCTTTGATCTTCTGATGCAAATGGTTTCAAGTCTTGCTCATTTTCAAGAAGCAAGGTGGTATCAACTGCATAATGCAGGTTGTAGATGAATCTTTCTCTGATCCTAATGTCACTCTCTTTGTAATGGCTTCGCTGATGATTGAAGTGGTCTAGAGAAAGGATACAGCCCTGCCACACAGCTTCTTTGATTTTAAATGATACAATGTTTCCTTGCTCTGTTCCCATGACAGCTTCCTGGTCTAGGTATAGATTTTATATGTAAACACCTTTGCATAGCCTTTATTGAGGCCCTTGAATGTGTATTTAAACCCCTCTTTTAGCCTTTTGTTGTCCTCACCTCCAGATATAAGCCCCACCCCCAGGCAGTCACGGATTGAAGTCCAGGTGGCTACCAGGTATGAGGCATGAGGCATGAGCCCTACCGACCACTTGACTACTAGCCTGGGTCCCAGGCCAGGCCCACTTGCCTCCCGAAGGAAGAGCAGAGCCAGGAGGCAGGACCTCTCTCCTCAGCCAGCCCATGTTCCCATGGCAAGCACCTCTCTCTTGGTGAATTCGTAGAGGATGAGGCTTAGGGACTGGGAAGGGAGCAGGTTGAAGAGAGGAGGATTAATTGCTTAGGGCTGGAGCAGAGGACAGGAGGTGAGGCTGTGTCCCCTCTCAGGGTCTCCAGCAGACCCTGAGGTGGTGGGCAAAGCCCTGAGGAAGAACAGGAGAAGAGCAGTAGAAATGTCTCCCACCCTAACCAGAATCCCTAACCAGCCCTCACTTCCTCCTTCCTGCCTGCCCAACCCTGTATCTTTCAGGACAGGGAGCTTCATAGACTGTCATGACTCAGGATACATCACACATGTATGCATGTAAACACACACACACACACACACACACACACACACACACACACACACACTCCCCATGCATAAACACACAGAGGTGCACAGGCCTGGTGCAGGCACTCTTACAAAGCACACCTCAGGCCTGTTGGGGAACACACATGAGGTTACACGTGTAAGGCATGACGTGACACTTGTAGACATATACACAGTCTTTATACTCTCCCCAGGCCCTAATGCCCATTGGCCCCGCTCCAGATACGCAGATCTACGAGAGGGAAGACAATCCTGTTGGTGTGATGCTCAACACAAACACAGCCCACTGGCATACTCCACACATACCTCACGCTTCCCACTCTTGTACATATCACACACACATGCATACACCTCACATACTCCACACACCCCACTCTTGTACGCACACACCCCTCGCATACTCCACATACCTCACACCCCCCACTCTTGTACATCACACACACACACACACACACACACACAGAGACTTCATACTTATTCACTCCCACATACATCCCCCTCACACACTCCCAACTCAAGCACACATTCTTCACAGACTCCCCACCTACCACTCGGATACACACACTTCACACACACACCCTCACACCCTTCACACTCATACTGAATCACACGCTTACACTTTACACACTCTACGTTTATATACCTCACACACTGCACCCTCATGCATATACCACACACACAGAAACACACACGTACACACCTCTCATGCTTCACACTTACACACATCCTCACGCCATAGTCACACACACACCATACACATACACACATCCCCTCCTCTCACACACACACACCCCCCCATACACTGCACACTCACACACTCCCCCACATTTACTCACATCCCCATCACACACACATACACACTCCACACTCACACATCCCACATACACACGTGTGCACCACACACATACTCCCCACACATCGTCCTCGTACACACATATACCCTCGCACTGAACACACACCCTCAAACTGCACATACACAGGCCCCGCACGCTTCACACACACAGGCTGCATACACAGCACCCTAGAGAACACACACCCCGCACACTCTACCCCATACACACGTATACACCCCACCCCACACACATCACACACTCACAGACCTTGGAAAAAACATCAAGCTGGAAAAGGCAGGTCAGCCAAAAAGAAGGGAGACCCTCAGCAAGCTGGGCCGCCATAGTGACTGTGACCGTGAACTTGAGCGGGGTGGTGATGTGAGGATGGCTCAGGAAAGGACAATATCCCTGTCTGCTGTTCACAGAGTCGCTAGGAATTGTAGCTGACTGGGCGGCACCTACCAACGGCATGACTGGAGCCTTCCACAAAGCCTTACATATACACACATACACACACGCTCCACACGTTACACACCCCACATAGGCACACAGACGCCCACACACGTTCCACACGATACACACCCCACATAGGCACACAGACACCCACACACGTTCCACACGATACACACCCCACATAGGCACACAGACAC